GCAGGGTGGTGAGAGGTTTCACTAGAGACAAAGTGGGGGGCAGAACATTGATGGACGAAGTACACTGCTGAGGGGAGCAGCCGGCGTGTCAGGAGAAGTCTGCCGGGCCATATGAATCATCTCTGGGCCAGCGATGGAAGTCGCTATGAAGCTGCTGCGGCTGGTTTGCAGTGCTGCCTTCTAACCCGCTGCACCACCAGGGAGAGGAGGGCCCTTTTTACATTAACTTTTGAATACTATTTCCAACTTTATATCTAGAATGTTGTATTGACTATTATCTTTAATAACTTTTTATAGGAGTTGGCTCTTTATTAGCAAGATTTCAGTTATCTGAAGGCCCAAGCAAACCTTCTCCATTGGTTGTGCAGTTCACAAGCGAAGGAAGCACTCTTTCTGGCTGTGACATTGAACTTGTTGGAGCAGGGTATCGATTTTCACTTATCAAGAAAAGGTTTGCTGCAGGTAAGTGGGTATGTTTAAGTCTCACTTGCAGAAACAATCTCAATTTAGACTCTTCCTTAAGAAGAGATTATGAATTTTTCATCTTTCTCCTCTTCTTCCCCACTTCTAATCCTCCTTTCCCATCCCAATTATAAAGCAAACCAATGATTGAAGGAAGTAAAAATAGAGCAATGAACTGGACATCAGAAATTAGAAAGGCTCTGGCTATTTATCCTGGCTCTTACCAGTTATTTCCCTAATATGGACATGTAGTCTGAGGCTAGTAGGTTAAATCCTCCTTATTATTTTGACAAGATAAATGCTGCTTGCCTGGTTAGGCATCACTGAGATCTGAGAGAATCTATTTTAGACTGGTTAGGCATCACTGAGATCTGAGAGAAGCTATTTTTTATTTTAATAGCAACCTTAAAGAATTTAGTATTAGAATGAGTTACACATGATAGTGATGGCATATGGGTGAATTGGTGGTAGGAAGTCCATGAGAATTACAACTGAGATGAAAAAAAATGCACAAAATGAAGAGTGCCACACACACAAATATATATATATATAAAATAAATAGAAAAAAATGTTAAAGAATACTTAAAAAAATGGGTTACACATGAGCTGAATATGGATGGAGCTAGAGTTTGTTGGCAGAGAATCCCCAGTACTAAAGTGAGTAGATTAAGCAGTGATTCAATAAGGGTATATCATGGGTTTATGTCTGCAGTACTGAAATCACTATTAATCCTATCCTTTCCACTCTCAAAATGATCCAGATCCAAAAGTAAATCAAATGGTTACTCTTCTATAACAAGTTGGATTATCATATTCAAGAGCAAATCCTTCACCTTTCCTTTACCCAAACCTATGCAAATTGTTCATAATTAGAAATAAAAAAATAATAAGCTGGCTGGAAAAATGGGAAACTTAAGAAACTTGATGTATTTTATATGTTAGTAATGCACCCCCTCAAGTGTGGAGGAGGGAAAGTTAAAATGTCACCCATTAGAAATCATATTATTGATTGGCAGATAACCTATGGGTATGTTGTTTTGTTTTGCAGGAAAATACTTGGCAGATAACTAATCAAATTGTATGCAAGGATGTGGAGGATCCATATAATGGAGAACTGTATAAGAAACAGGTTTTAGTTTCGGTTTGATGAAAGCAAACCAAAACCTGCACTTGGGATATACCTGCTGGAAATGTCTTTGACTTTCAGCAGTAATTTCCCTCTCCCAATACCGTGATGACCCGTCCTACAGTATTTACTTCTAGGTATAATATTGTTAATGGTTTTAAATTGTAATTATTGTATTTGTATATTGTACTCATTCCAGTAAGGCAGTTAAACCCTTGAGTTTTAGCATTTTACCATTCCTGAAATGGATGTAATTTAAACTGTGGTATGTAAATTTAATAGTAGTACTGTTGAATGGCACAATGCTTACAGAGGTAGATTGCATTTTGTTGATATATAAAATTTAAATTTAATATTGAAAGTTGTCATAATGGGGGTGCCACATAAAAAGAAAATTAAGTGGAACCAGAAAAAAACAAATTTACTTTTCTTCAGTCCTTAGTATGTTTTACTCTAGTGCTAAATAAAAATTCTATCTTCAAATGTTTAAAGAGTTAATTGAGAAACTGTTTCAAAAAAAGAATTCTAAGGTTGCAGCACATTAAAAAAAAAAGCATTAATTACCACTTTTTAAAAAGCTTTTTTTTTCAAACTGCAAATTTCATAAAAATGCAAACTGCGTAAACAGGGCCTCTTATTTTTATAACTCGTGTAAAAAGGGAAAGCAATTCATATTTAAAGTTTAAGTATATAAAATTATAATCAAAAGTAAAGGAGATGAAGTCTTAACCACTTCCCCTCTCTACAGTTTAGCAAATGTGACAATTGCTGAATAATCAGACTGAAACCAAAATTGTGGTTTTAAGATTTCACGACTTTCCGTAGTTGCAGTGGCCAGCAATTTCTGCACATTGGCTCTAGACAGAGTCTCTCCATCCAGCACAGGGAATGGTATTTCATCTCTTCCTCTTTACCAACAAAAATCAAAACATTGAGACTAGATGTCTTAGGCAAAAATTTAGTCTCCTGTTTCAATCCAGAAGGAGAATTTTACTCATCATCATTTATATCATTTGGGAAGGAGGAAAAGCTCCACAAATGAAATTCTAATCAACATTATAGAGCAATAAATTTCCTTTTAGGCAATTAGGATTCATTGTATGTAACTATAAATTTTTGCCATTCTTGGGGAATCAAGTAGAGAGGTATCAAAAAGATATGTTATATCACTGCTGTAAAGTAAAATAAAAACTGTGATTACCCAGCTGGCCCAACAATACAGGAATTCAGGAAGGTGAAATCTTCAGGGATCCCAGTTGTAAAACCTTCCTCATTGCAATCTGAAAATATGACACTTCTTTTAAATCTTAGAACTTACCTTAAATATAAACCCAGTTCCTTATTAGGTTATACTATCAAATAACTAATGATTAAGTTGTTATATTTATCATTAGTTGCTAATTTTGATTTTGCATTCAAATGTTTAACAAAAATTCTTAAGCCCCTTTAAATTTTAGAATCTAATTATATTTTTTTAATCTTACTTTTAAAATTAGATTGCTTATAGTAGAAGTGGCAATGGTTTGTAGTAGAAGTTTTTAAATTAACATTTGTATTTCTCAAATAGTGCTTGTTTCCAAGAGAATGATCAAAATTATGTGTTTTATCTTAGAAAAATCTTTATTATTCAAACAAACTCCCAATTGACTCCCCAAGCAGTCTGGTGATAAAGTTTTTTTTTTTTTTTTTTGAGCAAACACATTGTATGCTCTTTCTAAGAGAAATATTCAATTTGATTCTGAAAACAAGATAGAAAATGAAAACGTATAAAAAAAAAGAGGGGAAATTTCACACACTGAAATCAGTGGAGAATAAGCAGCAGAAAATTGAAATTATCCAGTAGATGAATATAAAAATGTGTTTTTAAGAAACTAATTCATGAAAGAGATGCACTGAATATTAACACAAAGCATATTAAAATGTGTAAATATTACTGGTTCTCATGTCTTGTTCTTTATATTATTTTATATTGCTCTAGAGTAAATTAGTAATTAAAGACAAGGGTTTTATTTTCAAAGAATAATTTTGTTGATATTGTACAAATGTAATTTAAAACATAGATTACAATAATCTCTAACATTATTCAGATGTTTCCAGAAACATAAATTTGAAACTATGAAGATCTCCTAATTCCTTAATTGGTCTTTGTGTTATAGAATGGAAGTCAGTGATTTCAAAATCATTAAACCTTAAATGACCAAAACCTCAATACATAATATGCATCCCTTCTCCTTTCAGAAAATAAGTCTATAGTAACACAATAAACTCATATCAGGGATTTATTTAGATTTTAGTGGCTTTGTTTTAATCCTGTGGTTTTTAATCTTCTGTTACACCTATATCCACAGTACTGTACAGTAAGATTTTGTGTTAGGAAAAAAATGGTCCTAGACAATGCAAGAGTCTCAGTTATCAAAGATAACCTGAGAAAGTCAGGTTCATTATCAACCACAAAACAGCAAAATGGGCTAGTACATAGTAAGATTTTTAATACCAGGGGTTAAAATAAAAAGAAAGGTTCTAGTTAACTTAGGCTCAGAATACTATTTCCTGAGCATTATGATTTAAAAGGTCCTGCCTAACAAGATAAGAGTATGAATGTTACTGCTTCATTTTGATAACATGGAAAGTATGTTTTTCTTCTCAAATAAAATCCATACTTTCATGATATTTTTAGAAATAGATTCTTAATGAGAATTAGTATCAATTTTATCTTCATTAGAATTTATAGTTCCTAGAAATAAGAATTTTTAATCACTTTTAAAATTATATTCTTCTCTCTTCCTACAGCCAAAATGAAAATTGACCATATGGTATTTGGATATATATTTCACTTGTAACAAAGCAATGTCTACATTTCAAATGATTTCAAGTAAATAGAGAGAAACCCCTCAGACAGTCAACCTGTAGATGCTTTATTTTTGTTTTTATATATTTTTACTCAATCCACAAAGTTCTTAGGCTATAAATGCACATATTTTTAAATTTTCTTCTCAAAGAAACCTGGTAACTGCATTAGCTCTACCAGTAACTCCTTCTCTGTAACTGTCAACAAATCATTGCCCCTTTCTGCTTCTCTTCTTAGAATGAAGGACTGATATTGCCATGGTTTTCAAACTTTTCTTAACAGCAGGACATTTTTCCTACTAAAATTTCACATGGAATCCTCATAGGCTAACCAGTTCAAAGTTCCTCTAGCAGTTTAAACCTGTACTTCCCAGACTACTGTTTAAACACCGTAGTAACACTTCTGTGATCCACAGTTTCTCCAAACTCCAAAATTCCATGCTTCTACTTAACTCAGAGAGGTTCATCTTTGAAAAGGAAATTTGTTGAATCATAATAATTGACTGAAGTGCAATGTTACTTGAATGTTTTCTGCGTACCAGTGATGACACATACTAATTCATTAAATGTATTAACACAAAAAATAAACTTTTTTATTAATTTTATTTTACAAATAATGACATTGAGGTTTGGAGAGACCAACTTATCTAAAGAGATGGAGTATCTGGAAGTACACAGTTACTTTGACTGTAGAGGGAGTCTCTGACCTGTTTTGCTTGCTAATTCTGGGTAAGAAACTCTTTTTTTAATATGCTATACATATCCTATTGCGATACTCAAGTAAAGGGCATTATGAAATATTAGTGTCAAGATAAGAACAATTGAGCTAGCAAAATCATTGAAAATAATCAGTGTTTTGTGGACCTTTGTGTTATCATTTACCTTTTAAAAGGCAATGATTTTGTCTTAGTCACCATTCTATCCCCAGAACCTAGAAGATAGGAGGTGTCAATAAATTCATATTGAATGAATGAATCTCTTCAGATGGGCCTTAAGAATGTGTAGTTGAGTGAGCATACAATATTTGAGAATGACTGCCCTCTAGTAGATTGCTCAGGTCTTTCTAAGTGCTGACATTCTATCAGATGGTAAGTTAAATATGTTTTTTGTGGTCAGTTTAGGTTTCATTCTCACCATTTAACTTCATCCAACTTTAAGAAAAAGATAGAGGGCTTTTTCTAGGGGAAAAAAATCCTATCTTTTCCTTAGTTTCACCTGTTATACTATGTCAGTCTCCAAGTGACCGGAAATGTATTCTCTCACTTTCATAGTTATGACCTTTTCTTTAATGACTTAAAAATAAGTAAATAAAAGGAGCAGTAACTGTTCATTCCAAATACTAAGACGTAATAAATGTCTCCCTCCTACATGTGACGTTTCCACATCTAACTTGCGAATTGACAAAATTTACTTGGTATGCTTTTGGATTGCTTTAAAAGCAAGAAAGAGAGTCATCTTAAAAAAAGAGTTGTATCCATCAGGTTTATTTTTACAAATTTCTGAAAATAATCACAAGCTGTCAAAGTTGAAAGACAATGAAGTGTTCAGATATCTACTAAAGAGATGAGTTTGTAGAATTTTTATACATTCATTTCCCCCAAAATTTTTTGAGTAAAATCCATTCAATCAAAATATACTCAATTTTCTACATATTTGTTAATGCTAAAAAGATCAGCAAGTTTTTAAATGTGGAAGCATAATTTTTTAATCAAAATGAGGATGATCTCTAGATACAGCTTAAAGGTTAATATGTAAACATGATGTTTCTTCAACATGAATAATTATATTGTAGTTATGAATGAACTAATCTATTCATGTTATACTGATTAAAGAAACTGTGCTGATGGCCCACACCACCGGCTTGTTGGTGTGTGCTTCTCTCTTGATGCTTTATTCTTTTCCTGTTCTTTCAGTGTTTTCATTTGGTAAACACCATTAAAATGCCACTTTCTCAGTCATCAATTAAACATGGCTGCAACTACATTACTTTTTGTCCATGAAATGAATGGAGGAAATATGATATAGGAGTATAACATTGAAGTATCAATTATTAAAACAAAGAGCAAAAACAACAAAACCCACTTGCCTTTCGCTTGTTTTTTTTTGTTTGTTTGTTTGTTTTGGTGCTCTAGCATGTTCTGTGGGCTAGAATTTCATTTTTAATATCTAAATGAATTCTAAATATCTTTGAAGGAATGTCAGTGTTTAGGGTCTATTGAATTGAACATACACACACATATATACACAGAGATCTCTTCATTATTTCACATGTTAAATATCTGATTTCTATCCTAAATGAACATTTCTGTGAAAGTAGGGCAACTCCTTATTGATGCACTCTGGATTTAGCTGTTAAAGTAACTTTTCCTTTTATTTATAGTATTTCTGACTGTCTTCTAGCTCCAGTTCAGACACTGCTAACCTAAATACATCATTGACCTTGTAATAAATATTGTTACAGTGAAAAGCAAATCTATTTTTTATGTTATTTCATGTTAAAAGAAAATCAGTCAAAGATATTTCAACTGTTTTCAACTCTATTCGAATATTTTCCAAGTCATGTTCCAGTCTAGTTAAGGGGACTGTCCTTATGGTTTGAGAATAATTACCCATCTGTAGATCCCACTTTTGGGACATTGACAGTAAATGTTAATGTTTGACAAAGCTTAAGAAAAGTATCAGATCAACAAAACTCTTTTTTGCCCTAAACACATCTTGAAAAACTTTAGAAAACTTTTCTTTTAATTCCAGTGTATCTGTCTTTAAAAAGAACAAATAATAAAACCAGGGATGGTTTCAAAACACTTGTGGATTTTGTTTTGACTTTAAGAGAAATTCCTTCCATTTCAAGTGAATTTCTATTTTAAATTTTATTAGTGAATTTAAACTTAGTACCTAAAATGTTCAAACTAAAACAATAAAATTGTTTTAAAATTTTAAGTGTTATTTTTAAGATTTACACCTATTACCCACAAGTCTGTTGAAGATGGGCTAAATTCATTGTTATAAACAATGTTTGATATAAACAAAGATGGGCTAAATTCATTGTTATTAAACAGCTTTTAAAAAATATCTCGTCATATTAACAGTAGTTTTACAGGCTCTTACTAAAAATGGCATGAAAATATTGTAATTATGGCTAAATCCATGTGTTCTTTATCATGGATTTTATAGGACTCTATAAGAATAAACATTTCATATTCCTTTGTGAGTGGTTTTATTTTGCAAATCAGCTGATTTTGCCACAAAATCAAAAAAATTCACTTAGAAAATTCTCCTTGGTAAGCTGGTATCAAAAAGTTGACTCATTTTACATATATCTAAATGTAGTTCAGTTTTTAATTTATTCAAAGTTTGTGAAACAGTCCAATAAACCATGCCATTTAATATTCCCTTGAATGATTATATAGCACAAATGCTAAATCCATCTCTTTTCTTCAGTTACTATTATTTCTTTGATATTATCTTTTTCTCCATTTCCTTTCTTTTTGTTCAAAACAAATGTTTAATGTTAGTCTAAAATAATTACCTTAAGCTATTTTAAATAATAAATACACCCAAGTAACTATCACTGGGGTCATTGTCCCAAAATCCAAAGTCTGATCTTTTTTTCCTTTTTCTTTTAACATAGCTATATTGGATTTGCAGGTCTATATTTACTTAGCTCTTACTTTTTTAAATGAACATGCATAAAAGAGATTGACTCCTGTCTGATGATTCTTTCTGTCTGTCTCTCTCAATCTAAGAGAGTTAAAAAATTGCTGCTGGATAATATTTTTGAAAAAAAAAAAAACAGGTGTTGTTATGATAGTATGCTAAACTTATCTATGAGCAGGGCTTCCCTATAGGCCAAGCAGTAATTTATACAGGTGGTTTTTAAAACTATTGAACACTATTGTGTCTCAACATAAGTTTTTTTCACTTTGTACTGGAAAAGATTTGTAAAAAATTAAATGATGAAATTTTAATTTTTGTGCCTACTAAGTGGCAGTATAAGGCATTGATATTTTTGGTACTTAGTAAGAGAATGTAGGAAAAGAACCTCAGAGAAATTTTGCTGTGTTTCTAAAGGTAATAAATTCAGTCAGTTGTCTTTGTAAAGAAAAACAATATTAGCATTTTAATTTGAGTTGGTGGTAACATTTAGTTAGAATTCTCCAAGATTTGGAGCAAAGGTAAACTGAATTTCTCTATGACTGTGTATAGAGTATAGATTTTACAAAATACCTAGGGCATAAAATACTTTTAAAAGAATTGTGAACTAAAATCCTCAACGATGCTTTTTAAATTCAGTCAAAATGTCAATGCCTGGATCTTTTTCTTAAATGTGTAGTTCAACAGTGAATATTTTCAAATATGTTACTGCTTTGTCTGTGATGGAAGCTTTACTGCTTCTCTGCTGTGCTCAAGGGGAAACCAGCAAAAGAAGTAATGGCTGTTCTTACACAGAAATGCAGCCAGCTCTCTGTGGAGCTAACCGTGATATGAATGTGTAGTACTGACATACTGAAGATAATCATGAAAACATTTAAACATTACTTGCCTTATGATTTAGGAAAGGTGTGGTTATCACTTTTGTAAATAATAATTTTTATAAATGTTTTTCCTTCATAATTTTCCCAATGACCCATTTCACAAATCCTGAATATGCAATTATTTATCATGACACATTACTGCAACTAAGGTTCCTGTTTCAGAACAAAGTTTAATTATATGTGAAAACAATGAAATATCTGAGTAAGTTGTTATTTAAATGTGTTTTTTTTTCCTGGAAAATAAATGAAAAACAAAAATAAATTGAGTTGTGAATCTCTTTTATTGCCAACCTCTTATAACTTTCCCCAAATTGCTAGAAAACTTCCCTGCTTGCTTAGGGTAGGCAAGGTAGGCAAATTTCTGTCACAGTGGGAGGGTTTTCAAGTCCTACAAATCCCATGATTTACTTAATCATGTTACTTAATGATTATCTACTTATCTTTGAAAATGGAGTTAATATCCTTATAGCACAAATTAAATGAGATGATATTTGTCACCCAGCAATCCTATCTAATACATGATAGTCAATAAACAATCATTTCTTATTCTTGTCTTTTTGTAAATAGGGATTAGAATGGGCCAGAAAACTTGACAGCTCCCTTTTTCAACCAGGACAGTCTCCACCATTCTCCCCATATGTTGCAGCTGTGAGGGATGCTAACTGCACTAAGCATTTGGGGTAATGGTCTCGTCTAGGTGTTTAGCGATGTCATTCTTCCATTAGTGATTGTCCACTTCTTAGGCATTTGATTTTGGCTTGAGGAGGGCCACTGTGATTAATTCTTAAGGCAGAAGAAGGGTCATGTTGTTATGTGTAGGTGACCCAATCCCAAAATCCTCCATTACAAAATTTCTTAAATGTTAATGGGTTGGCAAGACTGGTGTTAAGGAGAATGGAACTCCTTTTGTAATGTAAAGAGATAAGCCCATAAGTTACAGGAGGGACCTGGACATATTATTTTATAACTTAGAAACTAAATAGAGGGGCCTGGACATATTATTTAATATCTCAGAACCCAAATTTTCTAAACCTGTGATGGGAGAACAACCCTTTTTTGACAGAGCTGTTGGGACAATTAAACAGAACCACAACTGTTTGTCAGTATGTTCATATGGTTGTGAGAACAACTAAGTTCCCCAAAATTGACACGGTAATTTGAGTCCAAAGAAAAAGCAGGCACATCCATTAGTTACACTTGAAAATTAAAGGCAATTTGCATACAGGATTCCTCCACCAGTTGAATGAGTGGGCAGGACTTCGTGCCCAGGCCAGGATCCACACCACTCAGCATCTTCTTATACCCAATTTAGTACTTGTGATCCTTCTTGTTTAAGAGTAAATGACAAATACCCAGATGTGAAGGATTTGAGGCAGGAGGGTGTGTCAACAGTGCATCTTTGTTCTATTACATTCAACAGTTATATATAGGTCACAAGTACAGTTTGTGTAAGTGAAAGAAATAATGGGGAACTTATCTTCTCAGGATAGGGCAATTGCCAGTCTCTTGCCATGTTCAGTATTTAAGGTGAAGTCACTTTGGTTTTCCTACCCGGCAAAGGTGAACACTAGTCAATTATCATGTGTGCCTGAGAGGGGACTGGTGGAAGGAAGCATCCCGGTCAGAAGTAGGAAAGAGATCGTTTTACTTTCTCTCTGTGCCTCTGATTTCCTGTCTTAGGAAACCACCACATTTTTCCACTTCAACCCCTGGCATCTACATGAAAAAAACAAAACACACAAAAAAAAAAAAACAAAAAAACTGGATGAAGACCTACAGATTCCCTTTCCAGTCCTAGAATTCCTCCTTGCCCTTAGGATGTCAGTTCATTGCCCCTTTAATGCCACCCCAAGGCGCAGCAAATTTCAGGGAAAACCCTCTTCCTAACCTTAGTGATGATGACAGGTTTTACATCCTGGGGCTACTCTGTTTGAGGAAGGAGGGGGCAGGACTCTGTTTGAGGAAGTCGCCGTGGAGACAGCCCGGAGTCCCCAGGGAGTGCGCTGTGGCTGCAGACAGAGGAAGGTCAGGGCGCTAGAAGAACACTCTCCCGCGCGTCCTCAGTGGAAGAGCCTCCCCAGAGCGCTGCAGGCTCTGGCCCCGCAGACCTGAGCCACCGCCCCGCAGTAAGTGCTCATTTTCCTCAGAGCCCCAGGGCAACAGCTTGGAGAAGAAAATACAAGTTCCAAGGGAGTGGCTGTTGAAGAGGACAGAACCCTGTTTTGAGAAATGGCTTGCCCTAGCCACAATTTCTCTGGTGCCATAGTCTTCCTCCCCTGCAACAAATAAGAAAATTTGTAAATAACTAAAGAAAACAAACTGGCAAAAATATACTGGTTACCAGAGGGAATGGGAGAAAAGACCGGGTAGAGGTGGAGGGTTTGTGAAGCATCTGTGCACACAGAGGTACAAGCTGTATTCCCAGTTACATATTCTGGTAAAGGATTGGCAAATTAATGAAACTGGAGGGAAGAGTTGGCCATTGGGGCCTCCCAAGCAGCCATCCTGAGGACTGCCTGGCACTGGGGGCTGCTGACCCTCCTGGGGAACTTCAGATTCCAGCTCTGGCCAACCAGGCAGCATTAGAAACATCCTAGCAGGCCGACTAGAGTAGAACATGAATTACTCATTTAATTAGGCTCTGTGCCCTATTCACACACATAGACACACAACCACACACAGGATACACAGAGATGTTCACACACTAACACAAGTGTACACTCACATACTTAGATGATGAATTCACATACACAAGCACACATGCAGATACACAGAAAAGGGATCATATATACACATTCAGCACATAGACACATCTCACACAAAAGAGCACACATAAAGACACAGAAAACCTCACATTCACTAAGGTACACAGAAAATCACTCATTATACTGGCACATACAGAGAAATGTTCACATGTGTACATGTATTCACATACAGATGTTTTTGTTCACACAGCATCACACAATCATGGGAACACACTCAGGTTCTACACATAGACACATACCCACAGATGTTCACATTCATGCACACACTCACATATAGCCACACAACAGTACACACACCACTGCCTTGATTCCTGACACAAAAGACCTCTGCCATGTTCATGTGCCCTTCAGTACTATCTACTGCTCCCTGTCTTGCCAATGAACACACTGGGGTTTAGGCTGTGTGCTTGTCTGCGCTATCCACCCAGTGGCTACCTCCTTGCATGGGGGAATTCTATCTTGGTTCTGTAGTTTAGTGTCTAGCACAGAGACTCCTTGTTAAGGCTTTAGATTTATATTAAAAAGTAATATAAAGAAGTAGCTGAGTTTGTATGTGGGCAATGGGGTAATAAAGCTATAGTCTAAATGGATTTCTGAGAACTCCATTCCTACTGCCAGCCTTTTAACAAATATTTGTGAAAAGGAAGTAGGTTTTCCAACACATTATTAAAATTTGACTTTTAAAAAATGGCCCCTGGGGAAGAGTTAATTTTTAAAATAATGGCCATGCATAGGACATCATTCTTGCATACCTCACTATCCTTTCTCGATGACTTTAACCTCTTGTGCAGTTAAGCATTTTGCTGCAGGTTAGTTAGCATCTGCTTATGTAAACTAAGTACAACATTGCATTAAAGTGTTTAGATTTTTCCAGTTATATTAACCAAAATAACAATACATACTATCACTCTTAAGAAACCTCACCTCCCCATCAAAAGTAGTAGAAAAACTATCTGTGTATTTTATTTAAAATTAATTCTTTGTGTTAAACAAATTAAAATATTTTCAGGTCTTTTTTGTTTGCTGGTTTACAAAAGGTTCTTCCATAGGTTAGGATGATGTCAGATACTGCTAAAGAAAGAGTAATTGATGCATTGAAGAAAAGGAGAAGTGTGTCTTCTCTAAATTGTCATGAATCCCGGTGGAAAGAACTTCACAGTCATACCAAAGGGTGAGTAACTTAAATTTAATTATTGAATAACCAAGTTCATAATGTTTATCAAAAGAAAAACCCATTCTTTTGGCTCATAAAAGGGGAGGAAAATGAACAAGCACAACATTCTGGTCACCATTGAGGGCCATATTTTAAAAAAGAGTGAGAAATATAAGTGATAATGTACTTAACATGCAATTCACATAACAATACACTTAACATTATTTTATACCAATCTTGTGATGTATTTTCATAGTCTTTGTCTATATCTTTTTTAATGAAGCATGATATTTTATTAGTTTCTGTTTCTGAATTAATCATCCTCCCAATTCTTTTTCATTATATAAAGTTCTACATGTTTGTATAATTAAATGGTCAAAAAGTAACAAGTATCTATTTTAGCTTTAACTACATATTGCTTTTCCTTTCCTAAAAAGATAAATCAATTGTTAATATTTTGATGGCATTTCGTTTTGACTGCCACTGGGAAAAAATAAATATATTACCTGATTTTGAGGTCAATAAACTAACATAATAGACTTTCCTTCTTAATGGTCGCCACAGGACTAAAGATAAGTTATATTTATTAATCTCTGTGATTGGGAAGCAGGAGCTGGTTGTGTCTTGTGGAACAGACACCAGAAGAATTGATATCAATTTCCATTACAATTGTGTAATTCATTCTCTAAACTCTCAGAGTGCATTAAGCACTGACATAAATTTCTATTTTCCAAACCTGAATGTGGATTATAAGTATAGTCTCTCTTTGATAGACTATCTCTCCCTTATACAAATGAAGAAAAAGAAGGTAGGTTGAGGTTCCAAATGTACAGAATTAGCAGTGGCAACTCACCTTTTGATTCTAGCCAAGTATTCTCATTCCCTGAAAATTGGCAATCTTTGTGTAATTTGCATTGATGAAACTCTTTATCAATCAACTGGTTCATTTCCCATCCGTGAATAACAGCAGGTATTTGCAGCAACAGCTTTCTTTTGGAGGCTCAGTCCTCAGCAGCCTCAGACAGTGTTCTCATGTTCCTAAAATGGAAAGAGAATCTGTATGGTTAAGTTCCCTTCCCAGTATCGAATGACATGAGACCTGGACTTACTGACTCCGAGAACAGTAGTTGACTACAAGGTCAAGTCTGAGAGTCTAAAGAATCTCTCTTTTGCCTAAAGTCAAAATTACAGTAATGTTAGATTACTAGAACCTACATGAACACACAATGGCATTTCACACACTAGTTAAGTCAAACTATGATCTTTAACTTTCTTATTCAGGATTTATTAAGCATCTAGTGTGTATTAACTGTTGTGCTACACATAGGCAGATAAAGGTGAGTAACTTTCTAAACTACAGATTATTTATCAAATGAATTGAGAACCAACTGGCCATTTTCTTCCACATACAAATGGAAAAGATTGTATTTTTTACCTCACTTGAAATAAATATTTCTTGACCAGTAAGTAGATTCCAGGCTCTATGCTAGCTGGTCAACCAACCAAAAACTTCTCTGTGGAGTTTATAATCTGGTGGGAAAGACAGTAAATAAGTCTTGTTAAGTGTGATCCATTTATTCTGATTCCAACCTACACTACTGTGAGTTGTTTAATGAGCAGTTAAAAATGACATTGCCAGATTTGTTTCCTCATTTTGATAACTGAGGAATAAGAATAGAGATTAGAAGGTGGGAGCTAAGTGATTTCTTTCTTTTTTTCCTTTTTTTTTTTTTTTTTGCCATCTAACTCAAACTAAACTCTCCCCCAAGATCTGACTGGATGCAGCTTCCCCTCCAAAAAAGGAAAACTTGAAAAAATTGAAATATCCATGTTCCTAAATTAAATCACAATAACAATTAATAGCATATTGTACTTGATCAGTTATTAAATAATTTTACACACATGTCCATAGTTACCAGCAAGGCCCTGTAGGTTAAGTAGAGAAGATATTTTTATTATCTCCAATTATTTTCAATTGGATTGCAAGACCAGAGTTAAGTTGAAAATACAACTCCTTTTATTGCATCTTGTATATTAGGGACCGAAGCTAATATGGGAAAGTCCCTCCCATGTTCACCTGTCATCCTTCTCCTTTCTTTTCCCATTCTCAGCTCCCAATAGGCATCCACCTTAATAGACACAACACTACATATTATACATATTGAAGTTCAGTATTTTAAAATTTTTTTGTATATTATGATATTTTGACTCATTAAAAACCTTTCTAGCTCAGGAGACACTTCCCCTCTATCATATATAGTGTGGTAAAACAATTTTACCTCAGTAAAGTGAGTAAATAAATAAATGGAAACACCTAGAATGAGTCTTGGTATACCTAATTATAGAGCAAGTATCTATTATTATTATTATTGTTATTGTTTTGTTGTTGTTATTTAGGCCTTTGGGTTCATACCAGACCTGATTTTGAGCCCTAATTTTCTGCTTAATTAGTTACTATTTATTTAATATTCTTTGGAGCTTATCATTTTAGCTATAAAATGAGAATATTGACTTCATCAAAGAAGTATTTAATTCATTGGACACAGTTAAGTTATGGGCATTGTTCCAGGTGCTAAAGACACAGCTGTGAACAAAATGGACTCTGTTTCTAGCTCATGCTATTGGCTTTGTCAAGATCATAATGACTTTCACTGTCTCATGAAGGGGTCAGTGCTTGGTCCTCATCTTACTTGACCTCTCAACATTTCACACTATCAATCTTCCTCCTGGAAAAACTTTCTTCACTTGACTTCAGGACCCACACTCTCCAGTTTCCCTTCTACCTGACAGCACCTGCCTTCTCAGTGGACTTCTCTGGTCCTTTTGCTTTTCCCTGGTTTCTTAATGTAGGAGTGCCTGAGGGAGTGGTCCTTTCCCTATCTCAACCTATATCTATCCTCTTGGGAATCTCTGTAAGTCTAGTGAGTAAAATACATCATTTTGTCCCTGTATTTATAGCTCCAGCCCAAAGTCTCTCCCAAAACCCAGTCACCAACTGCCTGTTGACACTTCACTTCAACATCTAATAGATACCTCACTCAGTATGCTCACAATTTAACTCTCTAACTACCCTTCTTTTCAAATATTATGAAATTTTGGAGAAAACTTTGAAAATATATCCAGAACTCAACCACGTAGCACTAACTCCCTTACTAGCATGTCAATCTGAGTCTGTATTAATCAATTCAAGCTGGCATAACAAAATACATACACTGGGTGGCTTAAACAATAGAAATCTATTTTCTCACAAATGATTACAAAAGTAGCTAAAATATCTGACTTGAACAGATGAGCAGAAGGTAAAACAAAACTAGAGAATAAGATAATATACTTTGACCAGCAGAAACAACAGAGCCCCACAGGCAATAGGCCCTGGTTACTCACCCTAGCTTACATCCCAATTACTGCATCCCCCAAACGTACATTCCCTATATACATGCCCCACTTTTGTAATTGACTCTAATGAATATGAGACGCCTTTGGATGGGGCTACACATTACTTTCCAGGGAGTCTCTCTAGTCCTCTCATTGCCCCCAACACACTTTGACTTTGAGAACTCTTTCCTTTATACTTTGCCTCTCCCAAAACTGCCACTCTGTGAGGCAACAGTCTTGTATCCTACATCAAGTATTACCAGTACTTCTCACTTCTGTCAAACTAAGCACATGTGAAGATGGAAGTTCTACCCCAAAAATGTATAAAGTAATGGTAAATCAATAACATTTTATTTAAAGAATTGTATATAAGTATTTTTGAAAGAATGAGGAAACACCAAGATAACAAATGTACAAATTTATACCTTGAATCCTTCTTTATTCTCTATGCACTCTGAAATATCCCCACTGGGAGGCAGCACATGATTTTAGTAAATTTTCTTTTGTAAACTATTCAAAATATCATCATTTCAGGCATTTCACAGTTACAAATAAAAGATATAAATAATAGTCTGATCTCGCTAATGTACTAAATGAACAGCTCCAAAGCCAGTTGTGCATTCAATTATCTCTTATTACAGCTTCTAAACATCTAAGTAATAATGACAGTGAAAATGTTTGCAAATGAATTCTCAATCATTCACTGATATTGTGGCTTGAATGATTTAATTGAAATTATGTTTCTACCTCTAAACATAACAAAATATGATATGCCTTGTATTTTTTTCTGTGTAATTCAAGCACTGTTAACCAAGCAAATTTGTAAGATTAAAAAAATGTAACTTAATTAAAAAATATATTCCATATCTGTAGTTTTTTTTTTTTTTTGCTGCTTTTCTGCATAATCAGAATATAGGCTGTTGAATTGGCACGAGATGTGCCCCATGCCAACAAATACAATATAGGAGGGGAATCTTCTTTATATTATTATGGACAAATTTCACGCAGCTATATCTGCATCTAGGTTAATTCCAAGTCTGTCTTTGGCAAGAGAAGATAAAAAAGATGTGATTCCAAATATTAACTGAATTTTATGTTGGGTTACAATAGTTGTTGACTTGTTCACCAGAACTCTATGCCAAAATTTCAATTTCCTTGAATCTGGTTTTAAACTACCTACCGCCCTAAAACTTTACAGCTCTCTTGGTCACATTTTGCCTGCTGTAATCTCTTCCCTCCTTACATGCCAATGAACTGATGAAACACAAAAACAACATGAACATCTCTGGCACTTAAACAATGAAGTCAACTATAGCATTCCCTTTGTAATGAGATCATGGCTCAAAAGGGGTTATTATTATAAACTAGGGAAAGTGTGGTCATAGACAACTGAAACTCACCCACTTGTAGTATCATGACATACACCCAGTAAATTTTTTGAGCATCTCTGTGTGTGTGACTTCTGTATCTTCTCTTCTGCTTTATAGCCTTCCTTCCCTCTCCTCTCCTCTTTCTTTTCCTTTTCTAAACCCTTTTGTGGAGACCTGCAGTAAATTGCAGCAAGGGAGCTTCTTAGCTACCTACAAAAATTCCTGACCCAAAAGCCAATCATGGTTTAGTGTCAGGTTTCCCATAAAAATGAGTTTCATGCTTTTATCTTTAAAAATTTAAAAGGCTTGAAAGTAGTTTATCAGATGAAAATAGGTACAAGTTTTTCTACATTAGTATTTGGAACTGATACTGGTTAATTCCAAATTGTAAAATTCCAAAAATATACTAAACCTATATTATGGTTTAATGTCATTTGCTGGATTGCAAGCATTTTTACCATTTTATCTCTTTCTTTTATCTTTAATTTAGCATTAAATATTCCCACAGATTTAGGGTTCTGTTAGCAGGAAAAAAGAAGAGAACCACACGACAAAGTAAATGGAAGTTCCCACCACAATATTCATTACAGCTTTTCATACAAGCCATGGGTGAATTGGTGGTGGAAATTTCATGGGGAAATCATACATTGTACAAAATGGATGTTGTAATAAATATATTTTAAAATAATATTGGAATAGTTACAATATAATAATGGAAACAACATTAGTGGCCTGGAGAATAACTGATTAAAAACAAAATGTGGGCCCTCCCCAGTGGCACAGTGGGTTAAAGCACAGCATTAAGAAGCTAAAGCCACTTCTGCATGAGTTCGATTCCCACCTGCCCCGGAGGTGACCACAGGGCGAGGCAGACCTCTCCTGACTGCCCGCTGCTCCCCTCAGCTGTGTACTTCTTGATCTGCCTGTTCTGCTCCCCACTCTGTCTCTGGTGAAGTCTTTCGCAGCCCCTGAGCCTCTGGCCTGTACCCCAGTTCTGTATGTACAAATAAATAAATCTTTAAAAAAAAATGTAGTACATTCACATGTTAAATAGTGTCCTAGTATTTAAAACACTGATTTAGGGCCTCCCTGGTGGCACAAGGGGTTAAGTCTGAGCACTATGAAGCTATCTATAGCCACTGCAGCAGTGTTCCATCCAAAATCATCTTTAAAAAACTAGCAACAAATTAGTATAAAAAATTTTCTATTGACTATGTACTCCCTGAGGAAGAGTTTCAGCAAAATACTTGAAAAACTCAATTCGCAAAGTCTTTATCTACTCTAAAAACTAACTCCAAGTTCCCTGGATTTTTTTTTAGGCTTTCCTCATGATATTTAACAAATCTCATAATGGAAACATTATAACATACACTGATTGTCATTTTTTCAATACCATGAAAGAAGCAATAGTGAGAACTGAGTGTAAAAATCCTTCCTTGCTTTGCCTTAGATTCCTAATGTATGGTAACATGAAGTTACCACACTCTATTCTTTCTCTAACTTTTTAGTAACTGTTCAGCAGAAAAATATATGCTTTTTCATTAATATTTTCTGTATGTGCAAATAAATTTTAATTGCAGGAGTTAAGTATTTCAGGTAATCACTGCTCTTATTTTTATCTGTCAGATGTGATCATATGTGTGACTTTGTCACTAAGAAGTAAATAGAGTGTTTGAAATCTAAGCCTTGCGCACAAATATGCTAAGCCCTTTGCCTCCTTCCCTTTATCTCTGTAATGGGTAGAAGAATGACTCTTTTCTTTACTTAAAGGGTATTGTGATGGTAAAATGAGATAATTAATGGGAAATGTTTTGCAAAGTTAAAAGTAGCATGTATATAGTACTGGGACAGACTGGCTTATCTTACAATTGAGGGGCTTATGCAACATTGGGTTTTCTAAACAGAAGCTATCATCTGTGGCGTTGCCCACAACACCTGCAGTCAGTGTGACTAACCAGGTTGTTTGCTACTTCAAAGGGCAGCAGAAAATTGAGGCAAGCAGGTGTTACAAGAATGAAGACTAAATCACTAATCCAGAAATCCTTCGAACAAGCATAATTTCTTGCACCACTTTCTTAGGCTGGGTGGGTAAACTTTAATTTATTGTGTAAATTGCATTGTTTGAAAGGATTTTAAAAAGTAGATTACCCATGATTTTCTTAAAGTATCAATTTGCAAGAAGCTCACTAATTCCAAACAGCTGAGAAGGAAGTATTTAAGAAAAAAAAATTGCAGAGAAAAAAATCCCAAAAAATCCCCAAAAAATCCCAAAAGCTTAAGAACAAATATATTTCTCATTTAAGATAAAATAAAAAAATAACCTGCTTAGAACAGTGGCCACCCTCACACACACACACACACACACAATTACATCATCTCCTTTGAAATGACATCTGTCTTAACCTCATTCTCACAGGTGGAGAGAAATGTGGGAGTACAGTGCTCTGAGACTGCCAGTAGTGACAGTTGAAATTCCTCTGTATTGAGGTGAATTAAGTGGTGCTGGAGAGACATTTGGGACTCTTTACCAAGGTCTCTCCTATTCAACACCTGGATAAGCTGATATTATGGCCTTGGTAACCAAGCCAAATCCTTTTTTTAATGTTGAAAAGGCTATTGATGTTTATATTGTTAGGTTCCGAAATCACCCAGTTGTTCCCGGCGACAAAGAACAGGACCAGAGATGCACAAGTAAGCAGAGTTTATTAAGCCAGCTAGCTAGGGTCAAGCCTTCCTACAGGCATGCAGGCCACACAGGGAGAGCAAGACCCAGACCATAGGATTGTCAGAGAATATATAGGCCCTTATCGGCCATTACATACGTCATAGCTGGTGCAAATTCAAAGAGTAACAAGCTTCACATCTGTTTCTAAGAACAGATGTCTCAGTCATGAGTCAGGAGCTGATATCAGGGTCTACTTTCAGCCAGTTCCAGAAGCTGGCACCAGGAATACTATCTGCCTGCCCTCCTTTCTGGGCCCAGGGTGAGTGTAAGACCCAGACAGAGGGTCCTAGGGGCCTAACAATATATTTACAGTAGTTTGGGTGAATTGTGATTTCTCTCATCATGTAGGTGAGTGTCTTCCTTTTTTTTTTTTTTTTCAACTGAAGGGAATTGTGAGGTATATAAAATAGTGAGCTCTTTATAAAAGCCCATGTGAATATAGAATTGTTTCCCAACATCTTAAGCTTCCTCCTATAACTCCTCAGTCCCTTCTGTGTACTTTATCCACTCTGAGAAAAGCCTTCGCATCTATGGTAGAGACACGATTGTCAATGGCTTTTGGAACATGTGCTCTATTATCCCACAGTAAGACCAACCTTTGAACACTTTCTGGATAATCAGATGACCTGGCGTTGCACTGGGCTTCAGTCATTACGCTGAGAACTGCTTTAAGTAATTTTTCTCTGTCTTAATGTTTTCATTTCTAAAGTGTTTTAAATTTGATGTATGTCACTGGGACATTATATGGCTTTGCTTGAAATTGTCTTAGAGGAACATAATTTTTTTTTTAAAGATGTATTTATTTGTGCATACAGAACTGGAGTACAGGCCAGAGACTCAGGGGTGGCGAGAGGCTTCACCAGAAACAGAGTGGGGAGCAGAACAGGCAGATCGATGAAGTACACTGTGGAGGGGAGCAGCGGACGGGTCAGGAGAGGTCTGCCGCGCCATTTGGTCACCTCCCGGACAGGGGGGAATCGAACTCATGCCGAAGTGGCTTTAGCTTCTCAGTGCTGTGCTTTAACCCGCTGTGCCACCAGGGAGGGACCAAGGAACATAATTTTTATAAGACTTTCAATGAATGCAACATCTGTGTTTTGTTATTATTGCTATGATAATTAATGGAATGTGTGTTCTCTCTTGCTTTTAGCTCTATGATCTCCGTGTCTTACATGGATGAACCTAACCAGAGTGATGAAGCCCCTCACCTTCCAGTTCGGATGGAAAACACCTATCAGCTGGGTGTGATATTTTATCACTTGAGCCTATTTTAAACTTCTAATGTCATGAATGATATGTTCTTAAAATATTATCTGATTATATGGTATTACCATCAATGCGAGGACATTATAAGGGACCTTAACTAATTGAGTTCTTTGATACTGTGTAAACGCAAAAAAAAAAAAAATTGCCTACTTTATCAGTGCTTGCTAAATATTAAGCAATACATTTGAAGGCACTGGCATATATAGGATATTATTGAATTAAGAAGCACACTTAGTATTTCTGGGTTATCTTGTGAAGTTATTTTATATATGTGTGAGTTAAATGAAAGTGATATGTTTTAAATTTTTATCCAACACCATCAACCAATGTTGTTGATAGATGAAGAAAGAAGTCTTCAAGGCAAAGGCAAATGATGCCTGGTCCCCTGTTGACAGAGATGTTTATCCCTTCCCACTGAGGTTTTGGGTCTCTGAAAACAAAGATCTTTGCACCTGCCACTATAATCCCAGGTGGAGTCCATAGTGAATGTCTTTCCCAATTCGTATTTCCTCATAGACTCACTTGTTTTCTCTAAGTCCGTACCTGCACACTATTATCTGAATCCATATATAATTACTGGTATATAGAAATTCCACAGAGACGTACCAATGACCAAAGGACGACTCTATGGATGCACGTGGTTCCATTTATGACCAGCTAACCCCAAGAAAATTATAGGCCATCAGTTTATCCCATTAGACCCTGTAAACAGTTTTCTACATTAATTCCCAGGACTTTGCAGATGACTAGGTTCCATAATTAGTCAGTCCACTGGTATTTTCATAGTGTTTGTGGTAGACAAAGAATATTACTTTACTTATTTTTATGATACTTTTGGAAATTTTACTCACTTTCCTTTGGGGAAGCCCGCATACTACCATCATGACCACTTTTAGTCCAGAAGCTGACATTAACAGTGACTGATTCAGGGTAGCAGATAACCCTTTTGTTGTTCAAATCAATCAAAATTTTTGAGATTTAACTCAGAAGATACTGTTTGGACTTTTGCAGATCAGGCCCTGAAGCCTGAGAAATGTAGGGGCTATGGCAGCTACTACCATCTTTCTTCCACATGAAACCTAACAATAGAGCAAAACGAATCTTAATGTCATCACTTCAGTCCTTTGCCTGATCTAGCTAGCTAGTCAGGCAAACTAAGTTTTGGTAAAGCTTTCTCCCACATGATCTTATCCATTTGGTGCCTATTTGGGCTCTCCATACCAAGGGTTGATTCAGAATTCAAAATGATAAGGAAATTAAAATATGAAGACTTGTATTTCTTCATAAAGGTATATTTTTATAATTTAATTTTTTCAAATAAACAAACTAAATCATTTCATCAGTTTTAAAAGTGCTGAGAGTCAAACTAAGTTAAAAAAAGTAATTCTAAGTACCTTAGAATAAACTATTTTCCATATTTGCTTCCAGAAAAATCTATGTGAGTTTCTCTCATGATTAAAGCATTTTATGCTTGACAATCATTTTTAAAACATTCAATTGGCTGTGTTATGTTTATTTTGCAACTAAAAGGGACTCTGTGGACCTTTGCTGAGGACTTCTCATGTCTAGACAATGCTGGCAGGAATAGGTGGGTGAGGCAGATGTCAGTCAATCATTAGCATAATTAATTTTTATATTCTACTTAATAATATTTGCATCACCTAAACCCATGAAATGTTTAGGATGTTTGTTCACCCTTTATTTGAATAATTCCTGCCACTAAAAATGAGATGAAACATGAGTATAATTAATAAAAGAAGGGAATGGCATAATGATAGTATATTTTTCAAATAAAATACCACTTACATTTTCTTAACAATTAAATAGCAAAACATGACAATAGAAGAAAAAAAACAGTCTAGGATCTAATGCTTCTGAGTTCTGATACTATTTTTGCCAGCTCCTACATAAATGATGGTCTATCAAAGTATTCAGCATCCTTGAATCTTAGTTTCTTCATTTATCGATAGAAATAATCATCCACATGTCATAGGTAAACTATGAAAATTAAATAATGCATTTGAGTAGTTTTGTTTTCATTGTATTGTTGTTTTCAAAGTGATTAACTCAAGGACTTCACTTAAGATTACTGAGAAATTGTGACATTCATGATAATGTCCTATTAATGCAAAAGTTCTCCACAGAACTTTTTCTAGAGCACTGATTAAAGAGATATATTGTGAGCACCATATCAGACAAAAGCTATTGGGGGCCATATTTTCTACAAGTTCAGAGAAACTGCCTAAGATGAAGCCAAGAAAATGAAAAGTAGAACCTACAGAAGAAGACAGTGAGAGAGACATCATTTAAGCCCAGTTTCCATGAGATGCTCCAGCCCTGTCATCAGATGCTTTCTTGGACAGAACCTCGTAGTCACTCTATTGACTTTGTCGAACTCTAGAGAATCCTTCCCAACTGTAGAGGCCTCACCATCTTTTTATTATATCACCTCCTATCTAGCTCCCTCTTCAGGTATCCTTGTCCCTTCTCTCCATGAGATAGCAACAATATTAATAATAAATATCCAATGAGTGATATTTTGGGGGGAGAAAAACTGTTCTAAACATTTTAAATATTTTAATTTAATTCTAACAAATAAATGTAATAATTTATTATTATGACCATAATTTTGGAGTCCTAAGACATAGATACATTGAATAACCATTTTTTTTATCTGTTCTCTATTAAATCTTTTTTATCAGCAAGTGTTTTTTTTCTTTTTCTCCCTTATCTTGCCCCTTCTTCAAGTCTTTGTCTTTGATTTCTAAAAACATCTCTTCCTCCTAAAGAGAGAAATCACTTTTTAAAAATAAAGGTAAAAAAGCTTTGGCATACACATTAGTTGACACTAAGGGTGGCTTCATGAGCTGATTACGGAAGTTAAATGCTGAAGTGTGACTGTCTCAGCATCCCAGCCTTAACAAGGCAATGGGCGCTCTGTCTATATAGGAAAGGGGTCAGTAACAAAGAAGTGAGAGGGGTGGGAAGAACAGGGGACTACGGTGATGACACATGAGTGAACTGCTGGTGGGAATTCCACAGGGATTACAACCAAGATAATAAAACACACAAAAAATGAAGAATGATGCAAAAAATAATTTTAAATAATTTTAAAAATAATTCCATTACAACCTAAAAAAAGAAAACCAAAGAATGAGAAAGTTCATTACTATCTTTCAAAATATTTTCAGAATAGGATATGGTAAAGGAGATTTAAAAACAGAAAACACCTAAAAAACTAAGCAGTGTGCAGAAAGCCCATTGGCACAGCCACCAGGAATCCAGTGCCACCAGAAAGTTCTTCCTAGCACTAAACTGTGTAGGTCTCCTTCTTTCACTATGGCCTGACCTCTTACCACCAGGAGAAACACGATCTACAGTGGTTCATAAAGATCTTATGTCATAACTTGGGCCACCAGAAAGTCTGGTTTTTCTTTTCCCTGTAAAAATTTAAAATAAAAATGACTGCTTAGCTTGGGCAGTCATGACCTGGACTTGTGGTCAAAGGAAATGATAAAAGGCCCTAAAGCACCATATGGTTTGAGTATGAAAAGGAGCAGTCCCTAGAGGAAAGATGATGTTCCAAAGACAGGAAGAGCACTAGGCAGATATATAACTGCATTGAAAAAACTTACTGTTTGTTTTTTTTTTAAAGATTTATTTATTTATGGATACAGAACTGGATACAGGCCAGAGGTATAGGGACAGTGAGAGGATTCACCAGAGACAGAGCAGGGAGCAGAACAGGCAGCTCGACGAAGTACACTGCTGAGGGGAGCAGCAGGTGGGTCAGGAGAGGTCTGCCACGCCATGTGGTCACCTCCTGGGCAAGCCGGGAACGAACTCATGCGGAAGTGGCTCTAGCCTCTTACTGCTGTGCTCCAACCCGCTGCGCCACCAGGGAGGGCCCAAGAACTTACTGTTTTTTTAAAGGAATGATGTATACAAGACACTATGATATACAGCTGAATTAAGTTCCAGGTGAAAGATATATGCAGGTAAATGAGATATATGCAATATGAATGCTTAGCAGGAGGAAGCGAAAAAGAAAAAGGTATCAACTTAATGCATAATCTATTCAACTTAGTCTAAGCTGGCAATAACATTTTTAAATATCTTAAATAGAAAGGGGGAAATCACTTTCCAATTAGGCTCATCTCAAAAGAGTATGTGATTAGAAACCTTCTAAAAGATTCTCAGGAGAGTTACATAGGCCTGGAGGCATCAAAGGAGCTAGCTACTGCCCAATCTCTGACCCTGAAAAGCAGGAGTGGTCAGGACTAACCCTGCCTGGGCTTACTTAATACTGCTTGTCTATGTCCTCTATAGTAGCAATTCCTGCTGACCAAAAACTGTGGCTAATTTCATGGCAGAATGAATATCCACATTCATTTCCCACCCTGATTTAAATTTAAGTGAAAAATTCCAGCATAATCAAAATTAAATACTATTTCTTGAGCTCCAAGCTGCTGACTTAACTCGACTACACATATGGGCTACAACCTCTACTGAAGTTCAACCAATGGGAACTTCAGCAGGAATCAGGGGCATGGAGGGCCTGCACTGGGTATTTGTTTCTTCTGCCCTGCCTGTGGCTCATCTCAGACTATTTACATCTGTTAAGGACAGACTCAAGTGGTGCCCGGGGGGCCTTCTCCACCTCTTCTTCTGGGATAGGAAGAGTTTCCTTCTCAGGTCCCTGAAGCCTGGGTGAGTTGGCAATAACACTGTGGTTTTCACTAGTAAAGGGACACTTGGCTCCCCTTCCTGATTTCCTCTTGCCCACATTTTCCTACTTCTTAAATTCTGGAATTATCTTCACTTTAATATGTCATATATTTCCTTGAACCCTGACTAATACCATCATTAAAAACAGATACTTAGGGCCCTCCCTAGTGGCACAAGGGGTTAAAGTGCAGCACAGTGAAGCTATCCACAGTCACTACAGCAGGAGTTGGGTCACAGACCAACCAGGGAGCTGACCCACAGAGCACAGCAGACCTCTCCTGCCCGCTGCTCCCCTCAGCAATGTATTTCAGTAGACCTGCCTATACTGCTCCCCACTCTATCTCTGGTGAATCCTCTCACCACCACCACCCACACACACCTCTGGCTGTGCCCCGGGTCTTGTATGCATAAATAAGTAAGACTTTAAAAAAATAGACATTTAAAAGATATTGATGACTATTAAAATAAAATTGGATATAAATCTCACATGTCATTCCTTCATCCATATCATTCAACAAATAACAATTGAGGCTTTGTACGCCAGGTCCTGGGTACAGATGCATGTGATACAAGGACATAGGCACCTAACCAGAGAGATGGGAGGTTAATATTCCTTAGAGACACAGGTAAGATTTTTGGGGTGCAGGATAAAGATGATTGATCCTTCTGGTCTGAACATGGGCTAAAAGTAGTGAAGAACATAAACTATAGTCACCAGGCAGTGCAGTCCAATCTACTATGTGATTGTGATAAGGTTATTCATCCATTGAGATCTTTATTTTCCCATCTATGAAATTGAGGTAACAGAAGCGTCACCTCAAAAATTTGTTGGAAGATTATATAAGATAATCCCTATAAAATGATTATCAAAATTGCCTACAGGTTGAACCACTCAATAAAAGTAACCATTATAATTATTATCTAAAAAGTTAATACTATTTCAATTCAGAAATAATACATTAGATATTTCTTGTGCCTTTAGATTCTGAGAAGGATAATATCTGATATTAGTTATTTGGGAGAACTAGGTGGATAGAGACCCAGTGGAATGGGAGCACCTAGAAAAAAGGGAGGTTTCACCTGAGGAGAGGAGGAAGGGCACCTGGGGAATGATACATTTGAGCTGACCTTAACACAGAGTGGATATTTCTCAGAAGAAAAAGATGGGGGAGGGTGTTCACTTAAAAAGAAGGACAAGAGGGAATGCATACCAGCATTCTCTAAAAGGAGGCAGGATTCCATGAGACTGAAACAGCATGCCTGCAGAGAAGTGTGGTGATAGATAAGAAGCTGCAGTTTGGGAAAGAGCCTAACCTTACACCTTATTTAGGGGATGATCTCATACAGCTGGGTTTTGAAGTGAATCCTCCAGTTGTAGTGTAGTAAACAGGTAGAAGGAAGAGAAACAATATTTAGAGAAACCACTCAAAAAAATGTTGTCTCTCTGAAATCATTAATAGTGGGAACTAATAAAGAAGATACTTTCCATGTCAAGCCTCAATAGAACTGAACATACTCTTTAGGCAGTGTGGTAAATAGATGAGTTTTGTCTGCTTACCCTCTGCCAGAGAGCCTAACTGAAAACCCAGTCTTTTGGTTTGCCTACTGGATGGGTGAAGATGATTTGAAATAATTTCTCAGAAAGAAATTTCATCTGTGTTTTCAGGTCCCACCAAACATTTTCCTGTGATCACCGTTAATCGTATTTTGAAAGATGTGCTGACTTACCATCTACAAGAAGAACAATATGAACCAGAGTTCTGTAGACAGATGACTAAAACAATTTCTGAGGTATATGTGTGATTTGCCTAAAGTGTTTATTAAAACTAGCATTCTTGCTGAAAATACAACCCCCTATTTTTTGATGAGGGCAATTAATTCACAATACAGTAAAAAAGCTTATTTACATTTTTTGGAAATATTTATTAGGTCACTATTTCTGTGTATTAGGTGCACTACTGTGTATTTTGTAAACCTTCCAGTTAATAAAACATTCTGTAAAAGATAGACTATTTTAATACTCAAGACAGCTTCTTTGAGTGTTATCAAATACACACATTGTGGCCTTTAAGTACATGTATATACACTTCAGAATTTTTTGTACTTTCCTTTTTATAACAAAGTATTTGTTATAGAAGCATTGATGATTACTCAGGCCATAGGAGACTCCAGATGTATGATCCCTTAATTAGACGTGACCAAGGCAGTATAACTTTAATGCCAACATTCTTTGAAGGGGAGCCATCATAATGTAGATTTTCAAAGATTGTAATAAATCCATTAAATTCTGTGCATTAGAAATGTAGATTTATAGCTGATGCTGTCATTTTGTCCCCGAATGACCTATTTCATGAAGACAGCATTTGAAGGAAATCATAGTTATGGTTCCGCAACAATTACTGAAAGCCTCAACCCATGCATCATGCTATTTTTTAATCCACTATATTTATGATTAAGGCATAAATTTCACTGTAGCTGAAAGAGTACCTTTCTTCTTCTTTTCTCTTTTTTTAACTTCTAGGTAATTAAAGCCCAGGTCAAGGACTTGGTGATCCCACGGTATAAGCTGATTGTGATCGTTCACATAGGACAACTGAGTGGTCAGAGCATACTCATTGGTAGCAGATGTCTCTGGGATCTTAAAAGTGACAATATTTCATCTTATATTTTCAGAAATTCTTCTCTCTTTGCGCTTGCAAATGTCTATGCAGTTTATTTTGAATGATCAAAAGTAAGAAATCCACTTCTTAAATTTTAAATCAAGAAATAGTCTGTATCTAGGCACACACAAGTTATACTGCCCAAAACTTTAGAAATTTTTCAATCCAGTGTAAGAGTTTGGACTTTATCATCCTTTATTCAGGATGGGAGGAGGGAGGATAGCACAAGAAGGGATCTTTTTTATCCAACAAAGAAGCTAAATCTTTGTTCTGCTGGATTGCTCTTCATAGATATAGATCCTACTAAAAACTGCTTTTGGTACAAATTATTACTCTTTAGTTAGATGATAAATTCCCTGCCTTGTTTCTTAATGAAGGGAAGTGCTTTTAAAATATGGCTATATATGCTGACCAGTAAATGACAGTAGAATATTCAACATGGTGTACACAAATGATAAATGTTAGTATGTCTCAGTGCTGCATATAAAAGAATACAGGTTTTCATTTTGCACTTAATAAATTGAGCAGCATTCATTAACTGCAATTATTGTTACATGTACCTGACAGTTGAAACTGCTGAGGTAGAATTAACGATTTCATAACAATTATCATTGTCCCACTGGGCTGCTAGCTAAAACTAGAAGCTCTTGTGGGTTGCCTGCACTTTACAAAATTGTGGGAGAACTGAATGTTGGTTCTTCAATAATGGAAACTATAAAGTGAACAAAGGCTTTTTAAGGCACTGAAGTAGACATTGTGATATTAAATATACATGATGTTTAATAGTAAAATATATCAGTAGCACATAAAATCATGTATTGGAAAGAGACACTGCTTTTAAATATACACTGGCTGATATGCCTTTGAAAAGGTTTTTCTAGGCTAACAAATTTTTACATAAAATACAGAGCTGGCAGCTTAACAAATAAAACATGTGTATTTACTATTTTGTTTCTATGAATTTAATACTAAAGTGACCCAATGTGGTTTTGAATGGATGGCATTAAAATTTACAGGCTGAAATAGCTTATTATTCTGCTGGTTAATGTATCTTGTGCCATGGATCATTTATTTTTATGACGCTTTCAACCCTTGTGTGCATGTAAAATGATTCTGTGGCATTGTTCTTAGATGGTGAGTGGGCTGCCTAGAGGACATTTCTTAAAGGTCAAAGACAAATTGTACGCATATGGAGAAAATTAGCAACACTATGCCTAAGGAAAAATTGAAGTGTAATACATATCAAAAAGTCTAATAAATGGAAAAACAGTCAGTGCTTTATAATCTTAAAATGTATTGATGTCTTATTTTTCCCCAAAATGACAGTAGTTAAAAAAAAGCTACTTTTTAAAATCTTTTCTACTTTTTAAAATCTTTTCTTTCTTCTTGTTCTAATATTAAGGTAGCTTTTTTTTTTTTTTAAAGATTTATTTATTTGTACATACAGAACCGGGGTACAGGCCTGAAGCTCAGGGGCAGCGAGAGGCTTCACCAGAGACAGAGTGGGGAACAGAACAGGCAGATCGACGAAGTACACTGCTGAGGGGAGCAGCGGGCGGGTCAGGAGAGGTCTGCCACGCCATGTGGTCACCTCCAGGGCAGGCGGGAATCGAACTCATGCGGAAGCGGTTTTAGATTCTCAGTGCTGTGCTTTAACCTGCTGCGCCACCAGGGAGGGCCTAAGGTAGCTTTTTAAAATGCATTAGTTAATTCTTATTATTTTTCTGTTCATACTTTAGTGAAGTAATAACTTACCTGTATAATAATTTATCACAGCCAATATTTGTCAATCTCCATAGACCAATTTTGAATCTGAATTCAATCATACGTATTGTAAGTAAATGAGCTTCAGATTTCCATTACACATTTGTGAATACATCCCCTCTTAGAACAATAGCTGAAGCAGTCATATAGCAGTTTTGCATGAATAAATTGGAATGAAGAAAACTTTTTCATATGTAGGATGTCCATTATAAAATGGCTTTTTTAAAAAAAATTCTAAAATCTCATCCAGAAGATAATATTTTACCATATGTTTATGGCTGTGTTAAGAATGAGAAGTTTAAAACATTATTTTTGTTAAAAAGCAAGAGGAAGCAGTCTGCCATATACTCACTGATGAAATCCAGCACTTATGTAACAGTATAAGAATATATGGTAAATGATAAAAAAAACACTCATTAATTCTTCAAAACTAACTTTGAGGAATGCTAGTTATTACAAAGTCTTGTGATTAAAAAAAAATCTTTGGGGCCTCCTTGGTGGCACAGGGACTGAGTCTCAGCTATCAAACTATCACCAGCCATCCCCAGTCAGGAAGCTGACCCATAAGGTACAGCAGATCTCTCCTATCTTGCCTGCTGATCCCCTCAGTAGTATATCTCAGTAGAAGTGCCTGTTCTGCTCCCCACTTTGTCTCTGGTGGATCCTCTTACCCTCCACACCTCTCGCCTAAACTCCAGTTATTATATGCATAAATAAATACATCTTTAAAATTTTTTTTGATTGGCTATTTTAGCTAACATCAGGTGGTAATGCTATTGTAAAATATAAATGTAACAAATCAACATGCTGTACCTCCTAAACTCACAGTTATATCAATATAACTTAATAAGATAAATATTTATTTTTAAATGACACTAAATTTGAGGGACTTGCTTTATTTTGGAAGACCTTAAATATTCCTTCTCAGTAAGTTCCCACATTATCATCCTTCTGGTATGATAATGGTATTTTTCCTTCTCAATAAGTTCCCACATTATCATCCTTCTTCCCAGACCTGCCATGTCCTTCCTACCTCAGAGCTTTCACTCGTTTTCTTCTCTTCTAGATACCCCTGTTCCACTTTCTTCACTTTTCAGCATAGGATCCTCCAGTGATGGTAAGTAATACAAGTGACCAGGCAAGAATATGTTTTCATAAGAAAAGTTACAAAATATATAATTAAAGAAAGCAGGGAAGGCTTCCCGGAGGAAGTAACACTTGCTCTATATTATGAAAATGATAGGGATAGGTAGAATTGTAACCAACTGAGGAATTCAAAGAACAGGGAGTCAAACAAGGATAAAGTCCAGTGTTCATGAAGATAAGTGAAGACGGAAAGGGTATGGTACTTGGTAACCTTAATGTCTGGGTAAGAATTTACATTCAAACTATAGGTGATAGCCATAGGTTTTGCATTCGGCTAATAGTGTATATGACAGGACTCTGATGAAAGCCCTCCTAGGAGATATGCTAGTTAGTGAGAGGCAGAATGCTGTGGCGGCACAACAATGGAAAGAACAATTGTCTGAAACATCTTGGAGACAGCCTACTGACCAAGAAAGGGGAAGGAGGAGTCAGAAGCGACTCTAGGGTAACACAACAAGGTAGTTAAAACTTTCAAGGCCTGAACATTTGCAGCCTCGGAGTTCTACAGTCCCAGTCACTGATTAAGGGACCTCAAATTAATTACTGCCCTCACAAGGCTGCTGCTTCCCCACCTTGGAATAAAGTAATGATAATGCTGATACTGGGCTTATAGGGCCTGGGTGCGGTGTAAAGATACATGCTTACTAAATTCTTAGCACAAAACCCTCAGTAAATAAGTTGCTCCTCAAGTAGATTGTAAGGAAAAGTTTGAATCTGGGTAAGTATATGCATGGCCTTGTTGTTGACAAAAATAGGGAAGTTGACAGGAAGAGCTTGAGGAATAAAACACTGGTTGGTTTGCACTTGTTTAATTTAAATTAATAATGGGACACTGAGAAGGAGGTAGCCTCCAGCAGCTGAAAATATGGGACTACAGCTGAGCTACAACATCAAGGTGAGAGAATTAGATTTGGCAGACATCCAAATTGAGAGTTAACATCTTCCTCCTGCTTTATAAAATATTCATTAGTGGCAGCTACAGCAAGAATCATCACTACTAATAGCAAATTACTGAAAATTCAGTTATCTCTGGGAATGTTAGTAGGCTACTCTCCCCCAAAATCAATATAGAAATTTCCTCTAAAACCAAAATTAAATGATGCTTTCCTTTTTTTCATTTACATATGTGTGTGTGTGGAGACATCTGTTTTCCCTGTCAGACATTATAAAAACATAAGGAATTGCTCAAAATGCATTAACATTTTGAATAGAAGTGCTAAATATGTTGTCTGTTGATGCTGTCAATAGAATGACTTCAAATAAAACATGTAATAGAAGACTATGACAGTCAGACTCCAACAGATTATGCTGGGAAGTAAGTAGTACTTCAGTTCATTCATTTTTAAAATATCTTGGGAAATATCTGTATCCTGTAGTGATTTTAAAAACAATAGTTGAAAAATTAGAACTTTTAAATTTATCCATTTTAGAGAATGAACATTTTCCTTGTTGGACAACATTACTTGATCTGTCTTCCTAGACAAAATGCATTATCAAAAATGCATTAAGAAAATGCAGTATTCAAGTTATTCATAATTTATCAAATCTTTTAAATTCTTATTGCATTTATTTATTTTTTAATTACAGTAAGACAAGATTACAACACTGTGTAACAACAAGGCCATGCATCTACTTACCTAGATTCAACACTGTGTATGTTTTAGGGGTATAGGTTCATGCCTTTTCTAATATATGCCACCACACTATGCCCATCACCAACCCCCCAATAGTCCTCCATCACAATCCATTGGGCCTCCCTTTAATTTATGATCCCCTCTTCAGCACTTCCCCACTTCACTTCCTCATCTGTAGCCTCAGTTCTGCATTCATATTTCAAGGATTTATTTTAATTTGGTTTTGTGTGTTCCTCTACTTGTTTCTTTACATTTCACTGAGGAGTGAGATCATTTAGTATTTGTTTTCATCCTGACTTATTTTGCTTAGTATAATCCTCTCCCTTTCCATTCCTATTGTCACATGTCAAGATTTCATTACTTTGTTGCAGATACAACACATTTTTACTCCCAAAGTGCTTGAAGAAATGGTCTACACCAACTACCTTTGATTTTCTCTGTTGTTCTCACCTTCCTGCAATCTGGTTCTCAGCCCCAAGTCTGCTGCTTTCAGAAACAGCTGAGGTGGTCCCCTGACCAAA